CTTGATTATTTTGCCTTTGTGTCCTGCGTTTTGATTCCACACTCGCATTGTTATTATTGGTGGCCAGGAATTATACAAACTGTGAACACAGCCAATTTTTGGGATGTGATTGGATAATGAAATTAGCCTGCTGCACTGAATAAAGGGTCAGCCTCTACATAAGGGCAGCTTCACTGAGTTATATTAGTGACTATTGAGGAGTTTGCTGGTTGGCATGGCCCTCTGGTCTACACAATGAGAGCAAGCCACAGCCACTCCAAGGTCCTTCTCTCATTGAATGGTCAAACTGGTTCCTGTGTCTACAAGGAGGGAGGCCAACTAGTCGGGAGACGGTTAGAAGTGCTCCAGGTTATTCAGCTGAACGCAGCAATGAGTTCATTTCTTAATTTATGCTATGTGGTGATAATGGCATAGAAGCAGCATTTTCTTATCACTATTGTGTTTGTGCAACGTTATTCATTCAGCCTTTTTCAAATGGTTCAGTGTAGTGGATTTCCAGAGTAGCTATAGGCCTTATGGCACTGGGAGTCCTCGACAGACTCCTGTGATTTTGTTCATAAAGCATTTTTACTGAGGCAATTATTCCTGCAGGACCAGAAGCACTGTGGTAGGGTCAACTGCCCCAGGGCCTTTGGGCAGTCCTCATTATGACCCAGAGGAACTGTTGGGCCTCGGCACAGGCTGAGGTGCCAGTGGAGTCTCTACTGCCATCGTGAATGCTGCCATGGCAGCTGATGCTCCTTTCCTGCTCCTCCTCTTTCTCCTCAAAGAGATTGCCTTTATTTTAAGACATAATTTGAAAAAGACACTGTGGAATCCTGATTTGGATGATGTGGCTGATTTGAAGTTATGCTTGCAAAATCCACATCCCTCAAGCACTTTCCAGAGCCAAGGGCTGTAAGGAAATCATCAGTAAAAACAACCTGGACTGGGTGCCCTGTTGCATTTCCTTCAGATTGAAAGGGGTCAATTTCACCATCATATTTTTAAAATCTGTGAATAGTGGAACACGGTTGCTAGTTGAGAAAAAGAGACATTCCTCCTAGCCAGCCTCTGAGCTTTGAATTGCACAATGATAATAAGGGGCTCCATCTCAGAATATATTGGGAAGGTTCTATAGGAAGAATTCCTTGCAACGTTGACTGCTTCCAAACATGAAAGCTAATGCCAGCTCTCTCTTTCCACTTTTCCACAGTGATTGGCATATTTGGGAGGGATTGGGGAAATTCATATTGAATGGCATCAGACATAAGCAAGTTGAAATAGATACCAGTGAGGAAATAAAGTTGGGTGGATACTTCAGGAGACACCCTATGTTCCCAGGGATGTACAACAGGATGACAGAATTATTGGTGTGAAAGTGAAAAGGGAGACATATAAAATAAGGGTTTTGCAGATGATCTTGTCTTGATATTGAAAAACTCCCTGGAAGGAATAGATATATTAATGCAGAAATTAAAAGAATTCGGCAAGCTTGCTAGATTTAAAGTGAGTAAGGAAAAAACAAAAATGTTGTTACTAAGATTTGAAACAGACGATACACATATAAATATGGACATATGAGAGAAAATGTAGGGAACTGGTGTTAAAATCACATTGTGTTATAATTTAAGAGAGAACTTTTATAAAATGATGTACTGATGGTACATGACATCAGCTAAATTGTTTAAAATATTAAGGAATATCAAACCAGTGCTGGAAATGTGAAAAGGAAGAAAGGACTTTTTATCATGCATGGTGGACTTGTGAAAATGCAAAAAAAAAAAAAAAAAGGGTACAAATCTGTTGCATTATAACACCCCATCACATGCTAGGCATTTCTGTTAGTGCAGACTAGTAAA